GTGTGGTTTCTCCTATTTATACTAGTCTCCACCTCCATTCTCCAATCTTCTAGATTTGTAGATATTTCTTGATATTTTCTAAGATATTTTAATAACATAGTGATTAGGTGTCCATTTTGTAGATATTTATAGGACTTTCTAGAATTTCCTTGAATTTAAATTATTTTTTATCATGTAAATTAAAAAATTATTCACACACGTATTTAAAAATAAAATTATTGGCTTATTTATAATTGAATTTATTAACATATTTAACATTGTTAATGTAAAATAGAATTTTAAATAAGGTAATAGATTAGATTAAACTTTTTTAAAAAATGGATCATACCTATAAAAAAAATCTATGATATATAATAGACTAAACTTAAGATCTAATTTTATAGAATAAACTCGACTTGTATATTAATAGTCAAACTTATTCTCACCCTTACTCGTAGCTTGTAATCTCTAAGGAGTAAATTCTATTATTTATTATTATTTCATCTAATAAATATAAATTTTATTATTTAATATATTTTTCATTCAATAAATATAATTTATTTTTCAATATATTGTTCATCTAATAATTATAAATTTTAAAATAAAATAAATAATATAATATTAGTATATTTATTATTTATATATTTTTATATAATAAATAATATAAATTTTACAATACTAAATTAAATAATATAACATCATGATTTTAAAAAAAATGAGAAGAAAAATGAAGTTTAAAAGGAAATGAAGACAAAAAAAATTGTATGATTATATTATTTATTAAAATTTAATTTATATTTTTATTATATAAATTTATTATTTATCAAATTTAAACTAAATTTAATGTTAAATAAATATTTAAAATAAAATTAATTCATATAGTAATATTATATGTAGTATAATGTTCATATTATATCTCTGAATGATTTTGTAATTTAAATATTGAATTTGAATGTGAGAGTTGTGGTTCTAATTATTATTGAATCAATTTTATCATTTTCAAAATCCTATACTACTTCAAATAATAATTATAAATAATAACATTAATTTTTTCTTCTTTTAATTATAAGTAATAATTAATAATTTTTAAAATCACTTAAAGATAAAATTTCTTATATCTTTAATTTATTGTTTATCCTATTTCATACGCATTCATTCATTTTTTTTTGATAATCATGATATTGGTATGAAATATTTACTTTTAAAAATCATGATTAATCATCTTCAAGGATTATGAACTCAGATGAACATTTTTTCCCTCATATCTAAGGTTATGATTCAAATCATATGAATTCACTTATAACTAACATTAAATATACCAACCAGTCAAAACAAAAAACATCTTTGAAAAAAAATTTAAGATAGAAATAGTAAAAAAAAAAAAAACTCAATTAATTATTTTCTTTAATCTTAATTATTTATCTTACATTACTTATAATTAGGACTGAAAAATAATATTATCAATATATAAATATAATATCCACGATAATGTTAGTCCTCAATGCTAATGTTATGCAAATTGTCAATTTATCATATCATTAATCAATCGATATCAAAATTAAATTGTCGATCAAAGTCAATATGTCACATTATTAATTAATAGACAACTAGAAGTTAATTAATGAAAGAATTAAAAATATTTAATTTTAAAAGACTAAATTATTTTTTTAGTATTTTAAAACCAAATATATATATATATATATATATTTAGGTCTCCAAATTTAAAATTAATAGTTTTCTTTTATAGAAGAACTAAGTAATATATTTTTTTTGAAATTATAGACACTAAAATAATAATTTTTAATATTTTAATATACCCGGCCCGGCCC